GAGAGCCGCTTCGTGCCGATGATCGGGTCAACCATGAGCGGATACCTCCCTGGTTGCGGGACACACTCCGGGTGGTTGGTCCGATCAAAGGTTATGGCGGACTCTGACCACCGGAGGAAGGTAGGAGTGGCTGGCTCGACCGTATAGACCTTGCAGCACGCGAGCTTCTGACGACGCTTGGAGTCATAGGCTGTTGACCCCCTGAAGATCATGAGGCAGCCATCCGACGTCGGAAAGCCACCGTCCTTCCCCTCGGCGTCGACCATGGTCAGGTCGGGGTCCTTCCCTTGCTCCCCTTTGTTGGAGCCTCCGGATAAGAACCACTTCATGAGGCCGCAATCCTTGTATAGATGCTTGATGGGGAAGGCATGGTTCGGGCATGGCCCCTCGAATAGCTTCTCAAAGTGGTTTGGGGTGTCCTCCATGGGATTCTGACCCCCCCTACGGTCGGCGGCAGCCACGAGCGAGCCCTCGCGCCGCTGCTTGTTCTTCTTCTTGACGGGATGGTTGGAGGTGCCTTCGCTAATGTCCTCATCCTGCTTTGCCTTGCCTTTAAGGCGGTCAAAGATCGCTCCGACCGCCTCCTCGCCCAAGGCATGGCTGGTGGCAATGTCGAGGAGCTCCTTGGTGGTTCGCGGGCCCGTACATCCTAGGTTGTGAACCAGGGACTCGCAGGTCGTCCCAGACAGGAAAGCTCCTATAACATCGGCATCGGCGACGTTAGGCAGCTCGTTGCACTGCCGAGAGAAGCGCAGGATATACCCACAAAGGGTTTTCCTAGCCTTCTGTCGGCAGTTTTTTAGATCCCATGGATTCCCAGGGCGCTTGTACATGCATTGGAAGTTCCCCACGAAGATCTCTTTCAGGTCCGCCCAACTTTGGATTCTGTTGGGCGGAAGGTGTTCCAACCATGTTCACGCCGAATAGGCCAGGAACAATGGAAGGTTACGGATAATGAAATCATCATTATCCGCAACCTCATCATTATCCGCTCCACTGGCTTGGCAGGCAAGCCGCTAATCCTCGAGCCACAGTCTGGGGTTTGTTTCCCCATAGTATTTTTGGATGTTGGTTGGTGGTCGATACCTTGACGGGAAGGCGGCGTTGAGGATATGTCGGCCAAAGGCCTGAGGCCCCGAGAGGCCGGGGCTTAGGCTTCAGTCCTCGCCGCTGTCGTAGCATCCTCCACGATAAGGGTGATAGCCGCGTCTAGCTCCCTCTCTCAGATCATCGTGGGTACATCTACAGGCGTCGAGGGTGTCGCGTGCGTCACGGTTGCGGCCGAGACGCTCATGCACTGGGACCACAGTGCGCTGCCTGTGGCCTTATGGCGCTTGGTGGATCGACGCATCCATGTTGGGTCATTCTGAGGGCGTGCGCTGGCTGGCGTTGACCTCACGTCGCCGAGACAGCGAGCTCTCGTCCTGCTACGCCACCGCAAGCTCGAGCAGCGTGCGAATCTCGCGATGGGCCCGATGATCCTCGGGCATCGTGGGCCCCGGATGCCCACTCGAGTAAGGCCGCCGCAGCAGCGATGTTCTGGCTCGCCCGGTCGAAGTGTGGGAGGGCTTCATCGTCCGCGATGATCCTTCGGTTCACGTCGTGGGCCATGGCGCACGCGCCCACCGTCTCCATGGTGCTTGATCTCCTGCTCGAGCTAGAGTCGTGCTTCCTCGAGCTCTAGGTGCCGAGCCTTCAACTACTCCACCCGCAGGTGGGGTGGGGCCCCTGTCTCATCCTCGACCTCGTCGTCGAGGTCATTCGTCGAGGCAGCCTCCTCTTCATGGATGCTTTCGACGTGTCCCTCAGGGGTACCTACCATGAAACACTCACGAGAGGGGCGATGACTCCCCTTGCTGGAGTCAGAGCCAAAAGGCGACTTCGACTCTCTAGCATGGAGGTTGTGGAAAGATTCTACGACATATTTGATCATCCCCATGAATTCATCATTCGTAGGGGACCGAGGAATGCATTGCGTCACAAAGTGGCCAATGGTCTCTGTAGCGTTGCGCAGACCGAATGGGAGCATTGTCGGGGCGCTCCGGATGAGGTATTCTGGGGAGAGAGGTTCTCCCCCGGTAAGCTGCGCCATGGCGTTGGCGAACAAGAAGGTAAGGTGGCGCAGGTCCTCTCGGGACGGTCGGGGTCCCAGAAAGGCGTCGAGCTGACGCTCCAACCTCCCGTAGTCAAAGCCGAGGAGATAGCCGCTCCTGGGGGCGTGGGCCTCTGGTGCATGCAGCTGCAGCTCCTTAAGCGCCTCGGTGATCGCATTGAGGCCGGCGAAGTGGAGTGGTTGGACGGGTGTGGGCTCCGTTGTGGCGATGAAGTCTAGGTCCCCAAAGCGCACGTGCGTGCCCAGGGCCCAGCTGACGTTGTGACTAGCCATTCGTGGCCTGGTGTGGATGTCGAGACGCGCAAAAGGCCCCTACCTGGCGTGCCAACTGTCGATGTTTTGAGTTGCCATCGACTAGTAAATTTCTAATATTGCGCGTCTGGCTCGGATGGTGTGCTAAGAGGACACGAGTTTTAAACTGGTTCAGGCAGAATGTCCCTACGTCCAATTTGTTGCTGCCGCTCGTGTTCCTACCACTGAAAGTTCGTAGTAGGGGTTACAAACGGTCGAGAGAGGGACGGGTCCCAAGTCTCTGATGAGAGGAGCGAACGGGTGCTGAGAGCTCGGTCGCTTCCCGACTGTGTGCTTGTGTGTTTTGATCGGTTCGGGGTTCGATGGGTTCCAGCCCGAATCGATGCTATGTGTTGCGATGAGTTCTCTTGCGGGATGCCCTGCTTTCCCTTTTATAGGCCAAGGAAAAGCATGGGTTACAGTGGAGGGAGAGAAGATAACGAGAGGAAGAAGTCCTTCAGGATCGTCGGGTCCTTCTCTATGCGGGTCCCTCCGACCCTCTAGACGTCAACAGGGATAGCTTCTCGTCGCGGCCCTGTCCATCATTAGCGCCATGTGCAGGCGTCGTCTGCCGGTCATGACGCTCCACTCCGTCCTGGCGGATGTCGTGGTGAACTGACGCGCCCGTCAGTGTTCGTACGAGGGTTAGGCAGAACAGCACCGGTACGCCCGACGCTGTTCCTGACATGAACCCCCAGGTATGGCCCGTCATGGGTCACGGGCTACATCAAGGCGTTCCAGTCTCTTCCCTGGCATCATAGCTTTGACCCAGGCCCATACGCTTGGACCTGGAGTGGTTGGCGGCGGTATGGGTCTCCGTCGGGCGAGACGGAGCCCCCGGCCTCGGGGTCGGGCGAGGCAGAGTTCCTCCCCAGAGGCCGGGCGAGGCGGAGCGCAAACCCAAGGCTCGGAAGAGGCGGAGCCCAAACCCAAGGGTCGGGAGAGGCGGAGCCAGCCCTTAGAGGTTGAGTGAGGCGGAGCCCGCGTTCTTGGTGTCGGGCGAGACGGAGCCTGCCCCCAGTGGTCGGGCGAGGCGAAGTCCACCGTCAGGGGTCGGGCGAGGCGGAGCCCGCGGCCTCGGTGTCGGGCGAGGCGGAGCCACCCTCAGGGGTCGGGCGAGGCGGAGCCCGCGGCCTCGGTGTCGGGCGAGGCAGAGCCACCCTTAGGGGTCGGGCGAGGCGGAGCCCACGGCCTCGGTGTCGGGCGAGGCGGAGCCACCCCTCAAGGGTCGAGCGAGGCGGAGCCCGCGGCCTCGGTGTCGGGCGAGGCGGAGCCACCCCTCAAGGGTCGGGCAATGCGGAGCCCGCGGCCTCGATGTCGGGCGAGGTGGAGCCACCCCTTAAGGGTCGGGCGAGGCGGAGCCCACGGTCTCGGTGTCGGGCGAGGCGAAGTGCAGACCCAAGAGTCGGGCAAGGCGGAGCCCTGCCCTCGAGGAGGAGCCAGCCCTTAGAGGTCGGGCGAGGCGGAGCTTGCGTACCTGGGGGTCGGCAAGAGCTGTAGTCGCGCTCTTGACCGCTCGGATGAATCAACGTTGATGGTTATTAGCTTCTCCTCTTCGGGTACCCTAGTATTGGTCCTGACACCGACATTGGTGTCCATGAGGGCGGGCAAGGCGAAGCCACGACCATCGATGCGTGGAAGCGGCGTAAGCCGCCGACGGCGGTGTGGAGAGGAGGCACAAGCTGCATGGTGCTGTTGTGGAAGAGGCGGAGGGCGAGTCATTCGAGTAGCGTGGGCAGCGGATCTGAAGCAGACGGTTCGGATGCAAGTGCAGGAAACAGAGCTGGCGCGGGCAACGCGTGAATCCGAGGGGGCAGAGCAGCCACGGGCGTCCAAACGGATGCAGGCCTCCGGACGTATAGGCGCTAGTGCAGCTGAATCGCATATCATACATGGCAAGTATGTCTTTGCTTCATGTGTCTTGGTGATTCAATACATTTTGTATACATAATATTGATTCATAAACATAACAGGCTCGATTTCCATACAGAAACAGACCAGAGTAATAGCATGCAAAAAAAAAAGATATCTGATACATGTGCAGGAATTCGTAATTCTCCTATATGGCCAGGGTCTAAAATAATGCAAAAGATTAAGAAGGGGAGGAGCTGTTTTATATGGTGAAAAGGTTCTTTATACGCACAAAAGTAAAGGGGGTTATCTAACAAAGAACCTGAGCAGATGCAAGCCGAGGGGACTCGTGGGGGAGGGTGGACGCAAATTACATCTCGGCCTTTTTACTAGTAGAGACGTATGTTCATGTGTTCGTTTTTACTTAAAAATCATGGCTGAAAGTACTGTTCGCTGATTTGTCGTGTGAGCGTTCACTGAAATATGTATCCGATGTCCGTCCATGGCATGACACGGCAAATTAAAGTGCAATCCAAAATACTAGTATTACAATATTGGTTGCAATCCAAATACAATAAGGATACTAGGTACATTAATTAAAAATTATACAGATAAGCAGGAAACAGAGCTTCGAAAAGACTCGGCAAAAGCAAATATAGATACACTGCGCGCAGCTGGAAATCCATCCAAACTATGTACATCACTCTGAGATAGACTGACCACTCTGGCAGCGAGCATATCATGGTCACACCGAAACTTCAAGTGGCCGACGACGCCCAATGCTTCCGGGTTTCTTGAGCTGAGGAGGCACGTCCCCAGCCGGCAGATGGCTCGAGCTCCTTGGTCGTCGCGTCCTGCCGAAGCACGACGTAAGCGCGTGCACGAAGACGAAGGCCAGCGCGGCGACGATCATGGCGACGATGTACCCGGACGTCTCCCACCCCCTGCTCGAGCCGGCGGCGTGCGCGCCGAGGAGGCCGAAGAGATTGAGCACGATGGTCACGTTGGTCACCGTGAGCCACCAGCCGATGTCCATCAGCTGCCGGGGCAGCAGCAGGACGACGACGACGACGGACGCCACGAAGGAGGTGGAGTTGCAGTGGAAGAAGAAGAGGTACCGGAGCCTCCGGTTGGTGCGGAGTACCGGGTCGCCGGCAGCGTGCCCGTCGCCGTCGCTCTGCCACACGCCGCCCGGCGGATCGAGCCCCGCTTGGTAGGTCACGCTCGCCATCAGGATGCCCAGCAGCATAAGGTATTTGCACTTGGCGTGTCTCTCCTTCGCCCTAACTTCGTCGACCTCTGCTCCTCCAGCCCTGGGCGCCACCGGCTCTGCGATGTCTCCGTCCACCGGGTTCCCTCCTCCGGTGCCGCCACTGCCCGCTTCAATGGCGGACGACTCGTCAGCGACGTTGCTGGTGGTCTTCCCCTTGTTCTTCCCTTTCTTCCTTCCTGCTACTACGAAAAGCACGGCCATGAGCAGGATCACCAGAAACGCCAACACGAATATATATATCGACGTCTTGAGATGCTGCGTGCTCCCGGCGGCGTAGGCGCCGACGAGACCCAGCAGGCCGACCGCCGTGCAGACGGAGAGCGCGTAGCTCCGTATCGCCGGCCGGTACAGGTTCGGGTTCACGAGCAGTATGATGTGGGCGATGGCCGACATGAAGCTCAGCGAGTTTTTGTAGAAGAAGGCCTTGTAGCGGCGCGGGTAGTTGGAGAGGAGCACCGGCTCGCCGGCGCGGTGGCCCTGGTCGTCGTCCTTGGGCCTGAAGCCGCTCGGTGGGGTCAGCCCGGCCTGGTAGGTGATGGTGGCGACCAGGATGGCGAAGAGGAAAAGCCGCTTGCGCCGCTTCTCGACCGAGACGTCGTCGTCCTGCTGCCGCCCGGCGATCCTCTCCCCGTGGTCGAGCGTGAAGAAGATGACGTGGATCACCACGTAGACCATGACGCCGCCGGCCAGGGCCAAGACGTAGATGGAGGTGCTCACGTCCCGTCAGCTCCCAGCGGCGTACGCGCCCATGAGGCCGAAAGAGGTCGAGGATCATGGCGGCCTCCAGCGTGTGGCGCTTGATGAGCGCGGACCTCCGCTGGACCAGGACGATGGCGGCCAGGGACGCCATGAAAGCGGTCGAGTTGCAGTAGTAGAATGTCTTGTACCGCCTAGGGTGCGTCGTTAGGAGTATCGGGTCGCCGGCCAGGTGGCCGTCGCCGTCGTCCTGCCAGACGTCGCCGGGTGGGACCAGCCCTGCTTGGTAGGTCACGCTGGTTGCGAGACTGGCGAGCAGTAGAACGAGAGAGTGAGCCTTGTCCATCGATTCATTGATAACTTCCTCCCTGATAATTGCAAGCAAAGAAACAGAATTGAAATGCTGCTTGATTAACATGAATGCTTGGCTGTCGTACCTGGCAATTTCAGCAGGATGCCTTTCGGGAGCTTGTCGCCTGAAACAGGTACTTGCTGCTATTGGCCTATTGCTCGCAACCAGCCTGATGCTGCAGCATAGACGCTTGCTAGCCATTGCCACAAGTTGGACTTCCGTGTGGCTTCCACGACTTTTACAGCAAAATAGACCTGGAACAACATGTATCCCAGAATAACGGCGACCAGGACGACGACGTAGGCGGTGGTCTCGGCGTCCCGGCAGCTCCCCGCGGCGTACGCGGCGACGAGGCCGGCCAGCGCGACGACGATGCACCCGTAGAGCTCGTGGGAGCTCAGGCCGGCGTTGGCGCGCAGCTTCTTGTCCAGGAGCAACAGGATGATGAGCAGGGACGCGACGAACGCCGTGGTGTTGCAGAGGAAGAAGGTGACCAGGCGGGCGCGGTTGTAGTCCTGCAGGACGGCGTCGCCAGCGGCGTGGCCCGCCTGGGAGCTGTCCGAGAAGCCGCCGGGCGTGCTCAGCCCGGACACGTACGTGACGCTGACCGCGAACGTCGCGAGCAGCATCAGGACCTTGCGCGGCCGCTCGCCGAGCACCTCGCGGTCGGCGTCGGCGTCGCCGCTGCCGGCGGCGATCTGCTGGTCGCCCCTGTGCCGCGCCGACGACGACAGCCCCACCTGGACCATGAGGTAGGCGAAAACCCCAACCACCAGCAGCGTTCTGTACGTGGTGGTGACCGCGTCCCGGCAGGTGGCGGCGGCGGCGTAGGCGCCCAAGATGCTGAGCAGGTCCAGCGCCATGACCACCCGCAGGGGCACGAGGGTGTGCCGCCACGTCCAGATGTTCGCGCGCTCATGTCCTCGTGCTGGACGGACAGGAGGAGGATGAGGATGATGACCACCAGCGACGAGGCGAACCCGGTGGCGTTGCAGTAGAAGAACACCAGGTACCGGCGGTAGTGCGTGTCCCGGATAATGGGGTCTCCGGCGTCGGTGGCCTGCCACACTCCGCCGGGCGGGCTGAACGCCGAGGAGTAAGTCAGCGTGGCCACCACGGTGGCCAGCAGCAGCCATAGTTTAGGTTACCGTTTCGGCCAAAAATATCGGTGCTCAGCGGTAAAAACGAAAATCGGGATTTTCGGTGATTTTCGGATTTTTCGGGTGCAAAAAATGCTCAAACTGATTTTTGAAGAAATAAGAAAATTTGGCCGAAAATCGGCAAAAAAGAAAGTCCAAAATTAAGCAAAATCATAGAACAAAGTAGTTTTTCCAAATCTAGATAGCAAATGATCTAACAGTGCACTTAAACAGTTCATATAGAGATACAACAAATCATAGTCTAAAATGAAGCAAAATCATAGAATTAAATAGTTTTTCCACTTAATAATCAGTCCACTTAAATAGTCCAAAGTAAATCTAACAGTCCACTTCACAGTTCCATACAGAGATACAACAAATCATAAGAAAAATAGTCTCTCGATGGTGAAGCATAACTCTGTGGTGAAGGCTCCAGTTTACTACTTGCAACCTGCACACGAGCAAAACTTAGAAATAGATTAAACAAAACAATTTAACAAATGTACGGTGAAACAACTCCACCTAATAGAGAATAAATATCCTTGGTTTTGTTTCGACACGCCCTCCTCGGTCTACAATCAATTCCCTCCCCTACAAAATAATAATAAGCATGCAAAAATACTTGGAAATATTTCACTATGCCAACAGACAAAAATGGACACAACAATGATTTAGAACCTGCTAGTGCGGTTTCATCATCACCATGCGTTTCTGGAGCAGGACATGGATTGGAAATCCTCTCTTCTTTCAGCCCTTGCTGCTTCTTAGAGGAAGGGACCTTATCTTCATCTATCAGAAAGCACAATTAGTCAATCAAATATGTTAATATGCAGATTTCCAGAAATATCAAAATACTTCTACCTAAAGAACACTAAGGCTAACCTTCTCCGTCTCCATCAGTGTCTCCTTCGTCATCAGCCCCATTATCGCTATCATCCCATGTTCCAATATCATCACTCTCACTCTCGTTTTCATCAAACTCATCATCCCCATCCTCACTTGCCCCCTTCTTTCTTTTATCATGCACTAGTCCAGCTTTCCCTCGCTCTCTCGTTCCAAGAAGACTCTTTTCACGCACTAGTCTATAAGATTGTTCAGCTTTTTGATCAACAACAGAATCTGGTTCATTTAGCCACTCTGTAATTGGATTGGTATGATCAAAAAGTGCACAATCTATCATATCTTGAATAGGATCTGCAAACTTTTCCTTCTCAAGTTGATCATTAGCTTCAAGATGTTGCACACGTAGCTTCAGGTTATGATTCACATAGACCAACTTATGAAGTTTAATGTAGCACAGTTTGTTTCTCAGTTTGGTTTGGACCAGTGAGAATCTACTCCAGTTTCGTTCACAGCCACTTGTAGAAATGCACTGTGACACAATCCTCAATGCATATTTTTGCAATTCTTTGGTGTCTCCTCCATAAAGAGACCACCAAGTGGCTGCAGGAAAACCAAATTCAATTATAAGCATGCATATTCACTCCTTTATTAACAATCTGCAGTTGTTTAAGTCAGATGTGCGCAATTATATATAAAGAACATTTCATAATAAATATTAAAACAGATAAAGATCTATATAGTTTTACTGGTTATCACCAACAAGATGTGATAATGGAGAAGATGGAACAGAACCTCCATACAGCAGAATCAGAATAGTACAAAGCCATTTCTATAATACGAAGTTAACTTTTGACTACGAATATACTATATGCAGCCCAATAATTAATGAGGCACAAGCAGATAAGCACTAAATTAAGTTAAAAAAGGTAGCACAACATACTTGGAGTTACATTAGGAGAAATAGCAGCCAATCGAGCTGTTGTAGTACCAAATATTCCTTTGTTCGCTTTGTAATCCTGGAACTCAGATAAAGCCTGAACTGCGCTTTCAGGGGAATCAGCAATCCTTTCGATTACAATTGCTAGCTCCTTCAAATAGTCAGGATTTGAAGTGGTGCTAAACTTGTAGTGACCTTGAGGGTTTAGCACGGCAGCTACATGGACAAGAAGATTTCATATAAGAATGAATCACTGCAGTAAAATGAGCAAGATAACAGAGAGATAGGTATATAGAAAGCAACTCAGTACCTGCAAGCATTAGGGTTTTCTGGCACATACTTTTGACCCTACTATCTAGTAGTGCCAAGATATTCTTCAGGTCTTTATGCCCCTCCATGTAAACTTGCAACATATCCCTACAAATTATCACCAGTGGTATGAACCCCGAGACAGTACCAATCTTCTGTGAATCAGCACGTACTTCCGCAGGGTGTACTCCCATGGCTTATCCGACTTGTCGCCAGCCATTATTGGCTAGGTCACTGAGCTTCAGATGCACGCTTAGCTTGTGCTAGTGCTCGTCCAACTGCTTAATTTATAGAGCTACTCTCTCCTGTCAAAAATGTATGACGTTTGATTTTCTTTTGAGATTGTTATTTTTACTACTATTTTACATTAGAATATATTTTTACAATCTAGTAACTGTCTATGATTACAAAAGCATTTTCTTTTGAGATGCTATTTTCAAACTAAATATTGTAAAAGCCATTATAACAGCTAAAGATTCAAAAGTTTAACCAGATTTTGTCAAAAGATCGTACTTGGAAGGAATGAGTAGCTATCAGTTCACTGGTGGCAATAAATCGACTTTAATAACGTGCTTAATACTTTGAGAAATTTTACGGTGCTCGGAAATATTGAGAGCCCTCCGTTCGAGTGGATCGAATGGTCAAAAAATAGGAGGAACTAATTCAGAGGAACTTAAGTTATGGGTCAGAACAAAAAATTAGTGGACAGAAACTAGATCCATAATAACAGCCGAATGGCACAGAGTTTTTCAGGAGAGCCTTATTGGAACATCATTCGATTTTAAAGCAGTAACCCGTTGAAACATGAAAAATACAGTGGTGGTGAGGAAAAGGAAAACGAAAAGGTCTCGCAAACAAATTTGACAGGTCAAAGAACTATGAAGCGCGGCGATGTACGAAGCACAGATGCCAAAGAAGGCATCAGCCGGCCAAGCGGGCGAGCTGCAGCCTCCAGCAGACAGTTCGGGGAGAGCTGCTGTAGGCGGCCGCCCGTGATCCCCATTCAGGCGAGTGGTGGCCCCTACATACGCGTGGTGGCGAGCTCAACGGAGGTGATCCCAAGTAGGCAGCTGGCGCCGGTGAGCCCCCTACAGAGCGGCGGCGCCGGCGAGACCCTCCGAGAGATCCGTGCGACATAGCCGGCATTCAATTCGCGCGAGAGGGAAAAGAAAGCAGATGTTCGTCAAACTTAATATCCACTGAATTGATTGAACTACCCTTAGTTACCTTTAATTGTTCTTAATTTATGCTTCTAACATCAGATGGTTGGGGAAAAAAATCCACGGAGGTTCCTCTCAAGCATCATAACAAACCTCTCATCCTTTTCACCAAGACTTGACTCCGTGATTTTCCAGAATATAAGAATGTACTCACGCTTCCCATGCATCTGGATATATATTTAATGTAATAACAGTGACAAGCGACCTAACGGGTTAATATATAACTTGTGCCTAATCAGTGTGTACCAAGAAGAATAAGAATGTAGTCACGCTTCTCATGTATCTGGATGTTTAGATAAATTATGTGCCAGATAATCCTAGTATCCTAGTATTTGCAGCGGTTAACACGTCTGACGATGCTATTGCGCCACCAGTGCGATTAGCAGTTGCACGATATACGGATATTTCGCCTGTGATGGCTCCCTCTCCAGGCTAACGACAAAAGGTCACAATCGTTGTGTGGAGCTACCAGACTTCGGCTAAACTGTTCGCTTCAGCTCTTTTGCAGCCAAAAACAGCAGCTGTACAATAACAGTAGAGAGAAAATACAGCCGCTGCTGCTGCAAATAAGCTGCAATCCTCCATCACCAAGTCGCTATCACCATAACTTTTGATCAGTGTGGTACCGGCCACTATCATAATGTGAACTCGCTAGACTAAGGCTAGTCTAGCCGGGCTCCGTTTCGGTGAACTGTAGCGCATTGTTTACCAAAACCTGCGGGGGGGCCAGATTTTTCAGCGCCACCGGCTCCACCATCTCTCACGTTGGCTGTAGCATGGAGCCAGAAAACTGCTCCTATGAACACAAAATAAAGAGAAAAAACGCTACGTGAGACCATTCGGACTGTGGTGGTTACCAAACTCGCTACTCATATTATTACACGTAATGTAACCACCCTACTGTGTTGGAGAGAAATAACACAGAAAATTCCTGTGCTTAGGGAAAAACGAGTTGCGGATGCGCCGATGTACGCTACCGGAAACCGGCACATTCCCGAGTGCCGGAGGATTTGTCGAGTGTATTTTATCGGGTACTCGACAAAGACGATCTTTGCCGAGTGCCAAATAAAATACACTCGGCAAAAAAAAACACTCGACAAAGATGACTTTGTCGAGTGTTTTTTTTCGGCACTCGGCAAATATGTATTTTGCCGAGTGCCATTTTTCGGCACTCGGCAAAATGCGTCTTTGCCGAGTGTCTTTTTCTGGCACTCGGCAAAGATGTATTTTACCGAGTGCTATTTTTCGACACATGGCAAAATGCGTCTTTACCGAGTGCTTTTTTTCTGGCACTCGGCAAAGATGTATTTTGCCAAGTGTCATTTTTTGGCACTCGGCAAAGAGGCATTTTGCCGTGTGCATTTTTTTTTGCCATCGGCAAATTATTTTTTCAAAGCAATTTTTAGGCCCTAAATGAATTTAAATGAAAAACTTTTCAACTACAAAGTTGTATAACTTTTCAAGATCTACAAAGTTTATTTTGATCATTTCTTCATTTGACAAAGCGACAATAACGTTGTTCATAAAATCTACATCTCTCTTATATCTCTCATATTAGTTTCATGAAAGTAGAAGAGAGATATATAAGATTTGTAAACAATATTACTATCACTATGTTAGATGAACAAATGATCAAAATAAACTTTGTAGATCTTGAGAAATTATGAAATTTTGTAGTTGGCAACATTTTGATTTTAAATCATCTTGTCATGCAAAAACGACGTTTGAATTTGAAAATTTTAAAATTTGAATTTTTGAAAAGACCTCGGATGGGAAAACTTCCTAAATAAAAATTGTAGATCTCCAAAAGTTATGAAACTATGTAGTTGACAACTTTTTGATTTGAAATCATCTTATCATGCAAAACTACGTTTGAATCTCTCAAATTTGAAATTCGAATTTTTCAAACGACCTTGTATGGAAAAACTTTCTAAATAAAAATTGTAGATCTCGAAAAGTTATGAAACTTTATAGTTGACTATTTTTTATTTAAATTCATTTAGAACCTCAAACAAGCAATTTACTTCTGATTTAGTATAATATACGAGGATAGAAAAAAAAAAGAAGAAAAAATGAAAAAAAAAAACTGAATTTGCCGAGTGCCTACGTTCTGACACCCGGTAAAGAAGGGATTTGGCGAGTGCCAGATCTCGCACACTCGGCAAACCCCACTCATATACCCCGCATCCGGCCGCACACAGCCACACATGCGCACACCCACCCGCGCCACACACGCACACAGGCACACCCGTCCCCGGCCGCCGTCGGCGCCCCCTGCCCCGGCCGCCAAAACTGAAGTGGCTTGTAATCCGACATCTTAAGCTAATCCCAGGATCAAATTCGTGCACCACTTGTTCCCCTCTCCAAAACTGAAGTTTTTATTTTTGTGTGATTTTCGGAGTCATTTTTAGTGATTTTTGGTTCGTCGAATTTGGCTGTGATTGGGTGAAACTTCTTGAGGGATTTTGGTGCTAGGACATGTGTGATCAAGGCTAGGGTGATCCCCTAACAAATCCTTCACTTGAGCACCACGAGGTGATCCCCTAACAAATTCTTCACTTGAGCACCACGATTTTGTTTTTGGGGATTTTTCGAGTTCTCGCAAGTGATCTGGATTTTCTGGAGTTTGAGCACGAATTGAGTGATGATTTCTTTGGGAATAGCTTACCTACTCTGTGGTGATTGCCTGTGCAAAGTTTGGGGACAAATCCTTTTGTTTTGGTCGAGTTCCCGTCGAATTTTTGGCGCTCGCCCGTGTCTGTTTCTTGCGCTCGGTCCCAGTTCGTAATTCTCAGGTGCAGCTCGCAGGCGCTGGTGCCTTCACCGGTCAAAACATGTGTGTGCTCGTGCAGACCCGAGCCTGCTCCCTCCCTCTGTTTGTAGTTCGGCGCAGCAGTGTCCAGTCCTCGCCGAAGCTCACTCGCCTCTGGTTGGCCGTGCTCAGCTTCCAAGCACCGATCGGTGCTCATCCAGAACCCGTGCACGCACAGCACCAAGAGCAGGAGCAGCAGTTCACATTAATTGTATTTTCAGCAGCAGTAGGCTTTTGCTAATTCCATTTTCCATCGGCAACTTGGCTGGCTTCTTTCTTTTGCCACAGGGTGCAGGTTTGCAATGCTTTGGATTCAAAGCAGCAGCTGGACATGGATTCAGTGCTTGTGCAATATAAGCACCTTGCTGTGAATTCATCAGTTTGAGCAGGTAAGCAACAAGTTTTTAGTTCTCAAACTGTCAATTGTTACTTTTGTGCTTCACCGACCAATCATCCAGTAATTGTGACATGTTTGCCTGCAGCTCTGATTAATTATTCTAGTGCTCGGTTCATACATGCTTGGAATTAAATACTTGTTTAATCCTTCCTAGCTTTGAAATAGGATGCATGTGTGTCGGCAGTAGAACTGCTTCTGTACCTTGCTAGTTCTCTAGATCGATTCTCTGTTTTGAAGTATTTCTTTGTACTGAACTTAGCATATGGTTTTAGATTTAAAATTGGTCGTCTGATTTTTAGTGTCTTCTTACTAAGTTTGGTGCCCTGTATGTCCGCCCTAAGATGAGAGTTTTGATTCCTTCAACACATTATTTATTGGATAACACTGTATGTGCCAGACAAACACTGCTAAATTAATCATATATTCATCTCTCTTCAATTGAACTACATGGTACATGCATTGTTTACTGATTAGTTTCTCCAAAATAGAATTATTGAATCAGTGATGAACACTGCGATTTTGGCCTTTATTGTAACTATTGCTCCAAAAAATGTGAGTAGGCAGGCAGTATGTCTGAACTCATATCCTTGATATTGAATCGAGAGCCCACCCATGACACAAGGACCAGAACCGTTGTGATACAAAACATGGTTTATGTAGCCTATAAATAACAGGTAGAGTTTGATTGAAGCGAGATAACTAGATAAGATAGCTAAAAACAGAGCAGCTTCTCTGTCATGGAAGCTGAGCTTAGGCTCTGTTTTG